AAATGCAACAATCATGATCAAAAACATTAATTAAATATACAGCTAAATATATCTCAAGAGAAACTCACTGACCCCGCAGTCGGTGCGTTCAATCTGCGATTCATAGGTTAAGCTACTTTCGCAAGAACTTATCATAGGATAGGTGACCAAATATTTATTATATCAAGCTCCTCCGGGCTTCGGGAGGCACGTTAAGCGATTGGTCCTGGATGCATCTGTAACGCGCCACAATCTGCACCCACGTGATATGCTATAACCCATTCTTCGTATTTTGCTTATTTAAAATAGGAATGATGGAACATAGCATATTCTGCTTATTTATTCTCACGAATCATTCTATCCTTCGTCGTTTAAAATCCCCGTGCCCAAAAGTTTAAAATCTATACTAATATTATAAAGCTGAAGAGTTTGTTTGAACGCGCTAATCTCAGGAACTACTGGTTCGAATTGAAAAAAATATTTTTCTGTTAAATAGACCATTTATCGAATAAGGCTTTAGGTTATATAACATCACGCTGCAACTATTAAGAGCGAAGAAATAATGGAAAACGCGGATGAAGTCGCTGGCGGCCACTAGTCGAATATATTTAGATTTGTAGAACCTTACGTGCTATTGACTGTATGTACGTAATAAGTAACTTAGCTTCATAGGTATATAAGATATTATTTAATAAAACTTCAACATTTAATTAAGCAGGAACATGCGGATTTTAAACTGAAGACATAGTTAATAGAATCAAAAAACATCATTTATTAAGTCTCAGGTATACCAACAACATACTCATCTTCTTATACGCTCATCTTTAACATAAATTCTGTATTAAATGGAGGGATCCATGTGACATTATCATGTTTCTGAACAAAAATATACGTATTTCGACCCAGCAGGTTGTAAATTGCTACAATCTCATTGATCCGTGAGCCGAGATGAAAGTGATACCTACCAAATTTAAAATAACATATAGAACCTCATTATATGATACGTTTGATATTTTTACTTTCTAAACCATATTTAAAAAAGGAGTTAAATTGTAATTTTTATACTTTTTAGAGTGTTTTGTTTGGGTCGGGGTATTTAATATTTTTTATTTGATTATTTTTAAATTTCTGATTAATTAAAAAAATATATATCACAAAGTTATCTTGACGAAAGAGGTTATCGCTTAAAAAGAAACTCGGAAATCAAATCGGTCTATTCGTTCACGAACTGTGATGCTGTAACTAAAAAAAAATATAAAATCATCAACTCGTTTTAGCAAAATTATTGTTTCTCTTAAACTGGTAATCCGATTTTTGAATCCGAACCACGGCATAAAAACTTAAATGAGGTTCATTATTTCAGGAGCTACGGTGTCGCAGACAGTCACACTGACAGTTCAAAGGAGAATGGGCAAATGTGGTTTCGCTTTGTGACGATATCAAACCTCTTTTAAAAAATAAGTTTTTAATTTTACCTAAATACCTTAAAATATGTAGCCCTAACTTCGACGGAGTAAAATATGTTTAAAATAAAGGAAGGTAACTGATTTTACTACTTCTCTAAAATATTCACCATATTTATGTTTTTTTTTAATGTTGCCAGTATTCAAAATCTACATCAATTATATAAATCGATATTGTATTTGAATAGGCAAGAGCCCTGAAACATGAAAGACGAAAAAACATTTAAAAAGACAAAATAATAGTAAATTATTTTTGACCTAGTCATATGACACGATTTTTAGACAATAGTTCCTCGCAAGGTTTTTAGAACGAAGTTCTTTATCGCGCGGTACGCTGGCTAAGGGGAATAGGCGAGCGTCACGAATAATCCTTACGACACTTTTGCTATAGTGCGTAGCGCTTGGAGAGGACAGGCCGAGTATAGGATAGGATAGGATAGGATAGGATAACACAGGCTAGCACAGGCGAGCACAGGCTAGCACAGGCGAGCACAGGCTAGCACAGGCGAGCACAGGCTAGTACAGGCGAGCACAGGCAAGCACAGGCTAGCACTGACAAGCACAGGCAAGCACAGGCAAGCACAGGCTAGCATTGGCAAGCATAGGCTAGCATAGGCAATCATAGGCTAGCTTAGGCTAGCATAGGATAGCATAGCATTCGGTTCGGTTCTGTTGTAGGTATACGCATAATAAATAATGTGGGTATCTATCGGAACGTTAAGATATTGCTGATAAAGTTAGGTAAGTATCGATGTTATACAGACATTATGCTCTACTTTCATATAATAATACTAATGCTACATATACAAGTCTCGTTTAAATAATCTTGAATGCGTGTGAACTTCGTTCCAATCGGGTGTCCCACATGTGACACCTCAGAGTTTTATATTTTTAGTTTACATTTTGAATAAAGCTTTTTGTTATATACTAGCAGATGAAATGGAGGAACTGCTTTAAAATACCTGATTTATAACATTTTTAGAATGGCAATAATGACATGAATGACCCGCTAAATACATTGACGCAGTTGACAGCTGTCACTACAGCATTGCCTTTCGTTCTGTTAAGTTCGTTTGTTTAACGCTTTAGTGATTTTCTTTTTTCTTTAAGTTTTACGTCGAGTGAATTTTGAGTTCCTCCGTAACTATAGAAACTGAACATATTCGAGACAGAGACTCTTTTTTCGTGTGTGAATTGTGTTTGTTTACCAAACTGATTCGACATGACCAAAACATTTCTCGTTTTCTTGTAAAACAGCAGAATCACTATATATATAAATATGATACCCAGTAATTGCACTGGCTGGCTTAATTAGAAGACTTAATTAATTAGAAGACAAAGTAATGTTATTGAAACCGGTTTGTATGTTTTGATACAAACCGGTTTCAATAACATTACCTATTACTTGATGAACTTCAGCAGCTTATTTCTCATGAATCCGTCGAATTAGAGCAATTATTTTTTTTTGTAATTGAATCTAAGGCCAAAGCCCTACAAAACGATGTAGGTTTCATCATGGCACAAAAAAAAAATTTTAAACGAAACTCCATACATCATTGCCCATTCTCCTTTGTAACATCTTTCTTTTTGCATCGAGGGTTAAAAAGAAAGTAAATAAATGGTAGATACTTAGTACCATTTCTTTGTCCTTTTTTATGTTCGTTCATCACCGTGCTCCCAGATGTAGCTCAAACATTAATAATAGATACTAGTTTTTTGATCCCACTTCGTTCGCGTGATATGCCTTTGAGCAACAATTGCAAAAGCGTCTAAATAAAAAAATATTTATATCTTACCAAGTGTCTTAATATAAAGTCTGGTTTTATATACGACTTGCGAAAAAATTCATGCCCTATTTGAACCTCTTCAAACCATTTTTCACGATAAAAGGTAACCGATGTCCTTTCCCAGGCAACTCTATATCAAATCCATTAAAGGGGGCGCATACACACAAATTCACGAATTTTTGCTGGTTCTGTACAAAGAAGTATCGCACAAATAAGCTGTCAAAACGTTTATTTTTAATAAAAATATCACAAATTTACCTTAGTGGTTTTTATTTCTTGCAGTTATTGTACGTTTAATAGGGAAAATGTATAAACCTCAAGTCACTTAGTGGTCGAGAGAACTATACGGCACTTTTACTTCATGCGTCCTTTCAATACTTTTCTTCTCTCAAAATTAATGGATTTTAGAGAAAATATGAAGTACCTTCGTACAATTTGATAATTTCCAAAAAATGAGACTCAAAAGCGAAACAAAAGATTGCCGCTCGAATCTCGGTATACACTTAAAAATTTAGTTAAAAAACAACCTTGAACTCGATGTCAAGCAGTTTGTTTTTAATAGAATAACACTACCAGACATATCCTAGGAAAATAAGACGTTTGGCAGCCCCATGTGAGGATTACAATCAAGTGTCACCTATGAAGGGACCTTTTCAACATTTTCCTTTCATTCGTCCTTTTTTGTTACCCTTTTGTCAGACATCCAATTGTTATTGTTGACATTGTAACTAGTTCATCTCACCCGTAAACATACTGAAGTGAAATAATACACTTAAACCTTTTTCATACTACCTTTTACACTACACTTATCTGGAGGGTTAATGGTGGCAATTCTGTTGCACAAACTAGACTAAATTTGATCCTACCAAACAGTATTGACGGTTCTGACTAAAATAAAACAGCAAGAAAAAAAGCTGCCCTTGCTGAGTTTCTTACTGATTATTCTCGGTACAAGGTCTCCCATCGTAAATTTACGAACCGATGGTATAGCTTTCTTTATTCAGAAATGCTTTTACTAGACTAAATAAACAAAATTGAATTTGAATTTGTAAGCAAGTGAAATTTCAGTTTATAAATATTGTTTACTGATTAACTGGTTGATAATGCTGTATGGCATAAAGTCCGTTCTTAGTTTTTTTACAATAAAGAATTAATAAATAAATAAACATAGTACCTGGCGAGTCCAATAGAATTGATGATGGGATGCTTGTTCCAAGGGTTACACTATCTAAACTAATCGTGACCCGGACGCGTCATGGAACGATAAAACAATGCAATAACAAAGCATGTATCGCGTTCGGGGATCGATGTAACTACTTTTAATATTTTTTAATACTACCTCATTTCATCTTTTTTTCACTATAATCAGACGTTATCTTGAGGGAATCCATTGCTATAACTGTGCATTGGCATAGGCACTGTAAGTTCTGTAATAAGAATTCTCCGTGGAGGGGCGAAACATGTTTAAATTATTGGCGTATGTACATGTGAACTTGTATGCTAACGGTGCACAGAAGATCTTGCAGATCTCTGAGTGGGTGTAGAACATGCTAGATATCATAGTTTCACAATCAATGACCATTTACGAGGCTAATAGCTGACACATCCAGTCAGTAAAATTAGAAATCGTTCTATTTCATTGGATTGGTTTGGCTTGAGGTTTGTCTCCATTTAAACGAGGTTAACACTAGTTGGCTTCGTGTATATGATCCATTATATATTATTTTCTCTTCAGCTTTACACAGTCTAATAGAAGGATTTTGTTTTCAGAATGTCGTCGTGTCGAGTGGCGGCGTGTGTGGCCGCTCTTGCAGCAGTCTCCTGCGCTCTGCCTCCAGCTGTCTTCACGCTCGATCTGAACAAGCTCTACGGACACCATTCTAAGAGATCCGGTAAATTGTAACAATGTATATTTATTTCTACCCAGATACTTGGTATAGGTAAATTTAGAAAGTAGTCTATGTCGGTAACTGAGCCTTAATTATTTTAACAATGGAAATTCGTTATGCATTCCTCGTTTCTTCCAGTTCAAACGTTAGCTCCGTTACTAAAAATGCAGGCAAAATTCCAGCTCACCAGGGATATTTGATTCACACTAACAAACTACCGGCAAATTTCATAAAAAAATACACTCGTTCCGAAATCCGACCGAACTGAGAGACTCGAATATTTTATTTTTCTTATTTTTTTTCTTATATTAATATAAAAAGCTTATTATGCATATCCTTCCATCTAAATAAGCGGAAATTTATTTATCAATTTCTGAATTGATTCTCCGAAACGGTATTTCTCCGTTTTCAATTTCATATAAATCTTAAAGAGAATTTTTCGCTTATCATTAGCTCTGTTGAAATTGGAATAATTTCTGAATAGTCCATTGAAAGCACCTTCAGAACTTCTTTTTCATCTTATATTTTCATTTTATATTTCGCATCTGAAAAGGAAGAACTACATCCATACAGGGTCACTCGTATGTCTGTCTGTCCAACTGTTATAGTTGATTCAAATTTTAAATTTGGTAGGTACATATGAAAATGAAAAAAAAAATGAAAAATGTTTTATTTCATTAACAAAATATTTGCTTACAATATTGTGGTGAGATTCCCGGTAAGTTTATAATAAACCTGTATTGGGAAATCACCGCTCCTCCATTCAGTGTCTTAATTGTAAATGAAAATAAAAATTAGCACAGATAAAGACAAATAATTCATAATATTTTGTATGTGAGTAAGTGTGTGTGTGTATGTGTGTGTGTTATTTTGTGTGAGTGTGAGTGTTTAACCTCGAGAAAATGATACATTACGACATATTAAACAGTTTTTTCATTGAAGCTTCAATATTAATGGAAGCAGCTTTTTCAATAAATAATTTATTTGATTGTATAAATAAGTAAGGTAAGATAAATATGATGAAAAGCATCGACGAATCTAGAAAACTCTAATAAGTTTATTGAACCAAATAAGACTTACCTTAATTGGATATATAATTAATTAGAAAGTTAATTGATTTAATGAGACAATGTTAATAATGGTGCCTCGTTAAGAACCAATATGAATTAATAAGGTGTGAATAAAAGTATACATAGCATGGCATGTTAAAAAAATTACTAACTTGATATTTTATTTTAACCTCTTTAAGTGCAAGATGCATTCGAGACCGCGAGCTGTCGTGGTCGATCGTCTTTAATTCTGACAATTTTTCCATATCATATTCTTGTGGATTACACTTTAAATGAGATTCTCAATATAAATTAACAAAATTTCATCAACATTGACCTCAAAGTTCTCGAGCCCCTGCTCCATGGCGCAACAGTTAACATGTTCGGTCTACGATGTAAAAGTTAAGCAACCTTCGCTACTTCGTTCGCCACAGAATGGGTGACTAAACATTAATTAAGCTTCTCCGTGCTTCGGAAGGCACGTTAAATCCATCGGTCCCGGCTGCATCTGAAGTTAAATAAATATTTGAAATATTTAACAACATCACACACATTGCTCAGATTCCAAAATGAGTAGCTAAAGCCCCCGTATTATGGAGTATCTGAGACAACGAAGGTACCACAACACCCAGACCCGAGTCAATATAGAAAAGTTCATTTTCTACATTGAATATAGAAAAGTTCATTTTCTACATGGACCCGACCGGGAATCGAACCGAGAAACTCGATATGAGTGCCGAATATACCTCAGAGATGGCGACACCTTGAAACCGGCGTGCGAACCACTCGGCTACGGAGGTCGACCACAAAACCGTATGGTGGGTTATGGCCCTTTCTTATATATTAGAACGCTTACACATGAATAGACTAATAAATAAAATAATTATATTCAATTAATACTTTAATAGCTACGTCACTAATTATAAGTCGTCACAATTAATATTTTAAAATATACAGTGCTGAATAAATATTGAATATTATCGTTGCTAAGGATACTTATACTGTATAAATAACAAGTTAATGTTTCTAGACGTACATCGTGAGAATTAACAGATGCTCTATGACGCCATTAACATAGTAATGAGCACACAATATTCTATTTGATACAGACAGAACATCGTATTGAAATAAATAAAGCCCGTTGCTATTGTAAAATGTTACAAAGAAGCTACTGTTTCTAAATGATTAATATATATCTCAAATTATTTCCTTTTCATGCTCTTAGGCACCACTATTGCCTTCTTTATTTCATAGAATGTCACAACTAGAGATGGGCCGAGTACTCGGTTGATACTCGGTACTCGGCGCACTAAACTCGATATGAGTGCCGAGTATACTTTTTTTAAGAAAAGCAATATATTTCGGTAGATTTAATTAAAACAACAGTGTTAATCAAAAAGTATTTATTACTACTTTCTACCAGGAATTTGGTATTGGTTGTCTAAAGCGATTATCTCTGCTACAGTTTTGTAATTTTTTTAGCACGCCAATCAGTTATATCCTTTTTGTAGTAAATGATTCGATATGGGTTTGCTGTATTTTCATTGCATTCGCTTGCAACGGCTCACGATTTTGAGATATTTCCCGCAAAGTTTCATTTTCCAAATCTCTAAAATCTTCTGTGTTTTATATTAACATGGTTTAACATTGTCGTCGTAGAAGCCTTACTATCGAGCGACTGGTAGTTGAAAGGTGCGGGCTGGGTGAGGGGTGTATCAACGCGAGCCGGCCTCTCGACCGACATGAACCTATATGTACTTGTTTACGCGCTCGAAATGGGAATTTAATAAAACCGAATTACTCGGTTGAAAAAAAATTGAGCCGAGTTAAACTCGGTACTCGTTACTCGGCAAAAGTGTTACTCAGCGCATCTCTAGTCACAACTCTTACTTTACAACAAGTACAACTTCAAAAAGAGGGTGGTCAATAATTTGACTGATTGTTTTTTTTTTCTTTCACTTGTTGTACATGGATTATCCTTATCCATCCGCAATAATTTTAAAGAAACCATCGTATTGTTAATGAGATATAACTAATGAAGAAGAACATACCAACTGAGAGTTAGAATATAGACGAATAGAAGACAGATGAGGAAGAAATTGGGGATAGTTGATTGATCCAAAATTGATTGCAGTGTTTGATCTGCTTTAATATTCTATAAAAATACAGTGCAGAAAGCAAAATCGAACACTGACCTATCGTATCATTAGAGGTTCAATTAAATATAACCTTTATTAACTTTTACAGAAGCTTTATTTTATAGTACAATTAAATGCAAGACTCTGAGTTCGGCACTGTATTATTAACAGAATAGCACTACCATTGATCTGCAGTATGTAGGTACAATATGAAATAAATATCACATCTACACCGAAACCCTTGTGCGATAGGCAGAGATGGCTGATTGCCCAAAGACACGGTCTTCCCACACGTATATGAGTTTCTTGGTATTCGTAGATCTTTTCATGCTATATATACTATATAAAAAAACATATAGTTTATATAGTTTTATGGCTATCATAAAAAAAAACATACAAAATGATACAAACAAAATGAACTTTCAACGAATTGGTCTTACTTGCGTCTTCAATACATACCAGGTATTTTCACATTTTTGAAGTTGAATATACGCACAGTATACATAAGGTGACCAGATGTCCCACTTTGAACGAGATCGTTCCGTTTGTCGGTTGTCTGTACCTGAGTCCCGGAAGGAAAATGTTCCGTTTTGGAAAAAGCGGTAAAATGTTGTAGACCGCTGAAAGCGAAGAAACAAGGTTACCCTAAAAGATTGCATTACGACGAGTCATCGTGTGTATTTTTTTTCTCAATATTATGGAGTTAATTTATTTTCGCGCTAGTTATCTATTTATCCAGCACATATCATAATATCTTGAATTAATCTAAGACATAAAGGCCTCCTCTCCTCCTCTCTCCTGTTTTAAAGAAATGTCCCGTTTTGAGCAAAAACAAAAATGGCCACGTTAAGTATATAACACCTCATTTTAATTTTTTTAAAATCAATGAAAAAGTAGCTCTGATAGTAATTCTCTTCTGTCACTATATTCTAAGCTTAAGTTGGTCGCAATATAGTAATGAGTGAGTGAACAAAGGTACCTCCGCTTATGAACGGCAGTATATCTTAATAACGCCGACACGTACCTTCATTAGAGGGGCATGTTTCAGTCTCTGTGGATTGCCACAGCCGCTTAGCAACGAACACAAATTATTGTTTCCGAAGGGGGGCGTCTTTTTTATCTTACCTTTTTGTTTTCATTTCCTCAACATTGAAAGACAAATTTATTTGTAGATCCAAAGTTTTTATGGCGTGGGAGTGTTCTATGTATTTACTATGGTTTAGGTAAATTTTGTTAATGCCAATTTAGAATATTTGTTTTTCATGATAACATACATTACACACTTTTATATATCTTATATTTTCTTATGTACTAATTTATTCATTCATAGCAAAATTTTCACTAGTAATTTTAAATGTTTAAACAAATGCATTGTCAGCTCATAACAAATATCTGATGGCTGCTTATAAAGACAGATATTACATTTTGTCTACACATTACACATTTTTTGTCGATATACTTTTCGCTTACTCCAGCAGGGTATGTTTAGCGAAAAGATGAACTCAGATAACCATCTTAAACGGTCTGATGGATTCTCAGAGACTCTCCTCTAAAAAGCGTTGATTATTCCTCTTGCAAATTACCTAGAACCCCTTCCGAAATATGTTGTATACTTATCCTCTCAACTTAACATACAAAGGTTTATTTTTATATTTCTTCTTGATTGGTCCTAAAAGTGTACCTTGTCGGACTCTTAAATGTAATTAAAAATTAATTTAAAAAACTCACAGTATTTAAGACTGTAATTATTATAATTGTATCCTTAGGAGACATTACGATAATCTAGAAGTAATTTATCAAACGACAAATGTATTAA